TCTTTCCTCTACCATGTAGAATACGTCACTCTAGAGTGTTGTAACCTCCCACAGGTGGACCAGGAACAAGGATTTTCCCTCTAGAAACCAGAGCTGTCACTGATAGCTTGTACTTCAGCATTGCAGCAGGTGCCATCCACCAGGGATGCAAATGTTCTGCACAGTCCCCGTGGCCCTGGTGGGGCTGGGCAACTTCTAAATACTACTGCTGGCAAAAAATCCTACTGTGGGTGCTAAGGGAGCATTCCAGCTCCAGTGGCTTACTTTGGAATGGAGCAAGGCAAGGAGGAACAAATGCAGCCATTCATGACACTAGATTGCACCAAAATGAGGAAGGAAACTTTAAAGCACAGAAGACTGAGTGAGAATAAAATTTAAAAGCAACTGAAATGGCATTGTGGCAGCAAAGCTTGAGAACATTCCATGGGGCACTGCTCAGGGATTCAAGGTGCACAGAGAGGGAATACATCCTGAACAATGTGAGAGCAAAGCTGTGGATTGTAGAAATACACACAAGTTACTGAAAGCCACAGGTAGACACAAAAATTGTGGCCTGGCCATGCCAAAATTATCCATTCTGAGCTCATTGGAAGTTAGACCGGTGAGCAATTCAGTGAAACACTCACAGCATCAGAGAACGGGTGCAAAGTTTGGCAAAGCTGGAGGGCCTTCCTCCAGAGGAGCAGCCACCAAGCTCCTCCTCATCCTTGCATGCCAGGATACGATCCCAGTGCCTTCCCATTGCTCTCCCTGCTCTCCCACGCCTCAGGTGGGCAGTGCCAGTTCTGGTGGGGGACATGGTGTCCCAGGCTTGCCACACGCACCAAGGGCAAGTGGGGAAGAAAGGCTGCTGCCTGCATGCACTTGGTACAGGTGCAGGGGCTGAAGTCAGGCATCCTTCACTGTATCCATGTGACAGTCTGAAATTTCTCATTGAAAGTTCCCACCTGCCTGTCTCCTGTTGGCACAAAGAGCAGCCAAAGGTCTGCTCTGGGCACCCTGTGTCTAATAATTTTCTCAGCAAATTATTAACCATGCTCCAAAATAAGGCACACAGGACCTGTGTGCTCTGTCGTGGGTGTGTTGTCCCCACTGTCTGACTGCAGGGAACCTGTTGCAGCAAAACTGCTAAAATCACAAGTAATTTGCACAGCGAATTTCAGTGGCTCTAGGCAAAATAATCCCCATTACCTTGATGATCTCACATTTGTGATTACAGAGGATAAATGCAGAAGTATTGCAGGCTTCTATGTGAGGTGGTCACTGAGGGAGGAGTGGGACTTGCTGCAACACCACTGGGAGATTTCTGGAGTGACAGTACCAGGAGGGGCAGGTGGGGAAGCTGTCAGGTTGCACACTAACATCATGGGTTCTCTGGTCATTCCATATACTGGGATACACCCTTTTTCCTACAGCCATCCCTGCATTGCATCCCTATATCTGGTCCTTGGTCCCTTCTGGAAGCAATGGCAGAAACAAGGCTTCTCCACAGCATTCTGAAGAGATAACGTGCTGGTCCCTTTTTTTAACTGCAGGGGGTTACATTTAGAGAATTAGAAGTCACTCTTAAACCTCCCACAGTCTGCCATGTTTAAAAGTGCTGGCAGTGTATGACCAGCAATGCGACATTTTAGCAAGATTTTAACACAAGATGCCACCTGTGCCTTGAGTGCTACTGCAAACCTACTGTTGCATGGGTCCTACAAGTGAGAGAACACAAAAGAAAGTGTTTTGTCCTTCCCTCTCTGTCCTGTGCTACCACAACGAACCAGAACTGGTGGGAACTGCAGGCAAGGCAGACAGGTCTCATTAAATATTATTTAATGCACTTGGAAGCCACATCTGACAAAACCTACAGTGTGCTGAGCACCACCTCAGCCCACAGCATTTGCCCTCCTAACTGAGCAATGAGTTAGTCCAGGAAAGAGAGCCAGAGGAGAGCCAGCCCAGAGCTCACACCCGTGCTTATTTCCTGTGCTTGTGAGTCAGACACAGGAACGATCTACATGATGCATTCAGCTCTACAGTCTGCAGAGGTGTTGCAAGAAATCAGTTGCAGGGTGTACTTTTGGAGAGTCAATAGTTTATTAGTCCAGGGATCTCATCAGTACATTGTCTCTTCTCTGTGTGCCATAGCTTTCTCTAAAAAGCCTTCCCAGGGAGAAAGAAGAGCTGCAGCAGATTGTAAAGACACTGAACTCAACTGCGTCCTTCCTCTGCAACAGCCCTCTGCAGATCCCTCTGTGTTATCCTCACCAGCACTGCTCCTGTAAGGAGCCCTTTCTCCCATTTGTATCTGAGCCCCAAAAAGCCCAAGAGAGAGAACTCAGGTCTTTATAGCTGTCTGTGAGGTTACTGTTGAAAGGCTTGTATGTGCGAGGGTCAAATGAACAGTACTTCCATTGATTTTATTAAAAATATCTCTCTTTTACTTAACTAAATTTTATCAATAATTCTCCCAAATCCAAAATCCTGTAGCATCATGTAAATTCACATAGTGCCATAATAACGAGTGTGTTTTCTCACAAAGCATAAGTAAACTTTTCTTCATGCAGTTCATTTGTCACAATTAAAGATTACAGAGCTGGACATGCTCTGTAATTCCTCTTTCAAATTTGATCTATCTTCTTGAAGAGAGCTTTTTATAACAGCTACTTCACTATAATTGGCATTCTGTGTGTTCTTAGACTTCTTTTTTTCTGTACTTATTTTCTTTTATTTTATTTGGACTCTGTGAGTTTTGCCATTTTGGCCTTGGTGCTCTCAGCGCTGTGACTCACGTATTCCACAGCCACTGCCAAATCTCTGGGTCCAGCATTGTAATTATCACATTAGGATCTGTCATTGTAGCCCTGACTTAATAAATAGCAGAACAGTGATTAGAATTGCTGATTGATCCATTCCACAGTTTTGGACACACACATCTGAGATGAACAGAGGGACTGTTAAAGATATTAAAGATATATAAAGATATATACTGTTAAAGATATATAAAGACTTGAAATATCAGCATTCCAGAGTAAATTAGTATTAATCAGTCATTCCAGGTACACTAGCTTTTATATATAGTAAGAGTTGATGTATTTGGTAATCTGGTGATGATCAGCTAAAACCATGACTCAGATTAATGTCATGAGCTGCAAGGGAAAGCCCCAGCCCTTCCTCCATGCCCAGCTTGCTGTAGCCATAAGATCAGAGCATATGATTTGGTTTCCTTCAGGTGGACCTCACAGTGCCCTTCAGGAGTGCATCTCAGGCACTGCAGTCCCAGGTTTGATTCACAGGACCAGACCAGACCAGGTTCAAAACAAGAAAAACCTTGAACTACGCGAAGTGTAGATGCGCAGCACCAGCTCTCTCACTCCACATCCACAGGGCAGAAATAACACACCCTGGTGCTGTCTGAGCTCCAGCTCCATGGAGGAGATGCTGCTGCCTGTGGACTTTCACCCTGCAGCTTCCCCCACGCTCTGCCTGAACACCTACGGCAAGGATGAAGCTGCAGGGTGAGAGATTGACTGGGACATGAAAGGTGGAGGCATGTGTTTAAATTGTTTTGGTCCAAGGGCAGTACTGTGCTGTTTAGACACCAGCAGCAGCCCCAGAAGATAGAATTGCAGTGGTGTCTGCTTGCTGTGAACAGGAAAAGTCAGGTGACATGCCATGCCCACTGCACAGCTCTTTGTGGCAGTTCTTGTGACATCTCGGGGGAATGGGCCTACCTCACTGGTTTTTTTTCTTTGAAAAATCATACGTTTTAGAAAGAAATTTTGTTATCTTGGAAGGAGTGGAAAGAGATGAGCAAGGATATGAAAACTTACTGGGTAATTCTAAATTTTTATCATGCCATCAATGTACCCTGGTATCATAATGATGTTATGAACATGGATGGCTTTTATTCCTAAGGGCTGTATGTATGATCAATTTGTACATTTTGCATTTCTTCTAAACCTGCTTGATTTAGATTTGTAGCTTAATAGATATAGAATAGACTAAGGAAATGTGCTGCTTGCTTACAGCTATACTATCAGTTCATAAATATAATCTTAAAAATTAATTTATGCAATATTGTTTTCATTTTTTGAATGGGGAAAAGGTTTTGAGTTTGAAAGTTCTGAAAACTAAATTCTCTAGACTGCTCTGGGCTGACCTTAGGTTGCATGCTGACAGCTCAAAAGCGTTCATCCAAAATCCAGCAACATGGATCTTGTCTGTGCTCGTTTCAGAAGGGTTTTTTTCTGTTCTTGTCAACACTTTATTCTAGATCAGAAATTTCCTTCCAGGGAGATCTTAATACCACACAAGCATTGAGTCATTCTGTAATGGGATGTTTTACCCCTAGAGAACTGCTAGAAGTCATCTCCTCAGCAGAGGAAATTGTGGGCAAACACTCAGCATGCTCATTGCTGTCCAGAGCGTCTGGCACATGAAATCTCTGCAGCCCAAAATGGGGAATCCAAGTTTCACCTTGTTAGTGCTGCACATTTTTGCCTTCATCATCTGGGAAGATGAGCTGCCAGGCTGGAGATTTGACTTTTCTGAGTCATGTGGCCAAAAATGTAATGACTGTACCTCTGACCAGCATAGCCAAGAGGAAAATAGCACAAAGATGCCCAACAGCAAGTGAGGATTAGAGCACACCATGCCAGCGACCTGCTTTCTGTCCTTGAATGTAACATTTCACTTCTCTTCATCTCCAAAAGTGCGGTAACAGTACTCATCTACATCTCTAAAGTGTTTCCAGGCTAAAGGCCAAACACCTTTGCTAGAAGTGATTTATTTTTAACTCACCACAACCCCATTTTAATGTGAGGGATATTGTGCGCTCATCTTTGAGGCTCCTGGTGCTTCCTGCCTTGAGATCCTAGGTTGCTATGCAGCCGTGTTCAGAGATGTAAGGAATCCTTACTTCTTTACTTCTCAAGCAGCAAGCTTGCCCAGCATGCACAATCTTTTCTCTACTTGAAAACATTCTTAGGGATTTTCCACAGAGGCTCAAAGGCAGTCACATATTTTATTTATTTTATTACAAGGCATGTAAGTAAAAACTTGCATATCTGAAAAAAGATATTAGATAGAAAACAGTAATAAAATTAACATTATTATCTTAAGAAAATTGGTAATAAATACATTTCCCCTCGACATTAAAATGCTTGTTATTTTGCACAACAATAAATACAGCATAGCTCTGGCACAGAGAAAGGCCAAGGATGGATACAAGAAGTCCATGTGGTGGCATAAAAAAGCTCAGGTGATTTTTAAAGGTTTGGCATCCTGCACTTGATGCACTTTGATACAACTTGCACTTTAATTTTAATTTTACTATGATTTTTAAACAGTCCCATAATATGAAAACAAGAGAGGAAAATTTGACTGTAGGATTTTTGCTTTAAATATTTTCAAAGTAAGAGATGTGTAAACTCACTGAAACTAATCCTCGAAATAAAGAAAAAATACCAAACAGGTGTCTTTGTGGTTATTCTACAAAAATGCTTTTTTTCTCAGCTGTGGGTGCTCAAGCCTGACCAGTCAACTGACAAGGGACCAATCTCCAGTCAGTTCCTCAATTCTTTACACAGTTTTAAAAAAGAAATATTAATAACAAGGAGAAAGAGTAAAGACAGTAGTATTCACTTCCCAAGTTATGGCATTTGAGGTTCTTACACTATTATCCAAAGGTGAGAGGAGAAAGAACAGGTGTTCTCCAGAACAGTTCCCAGCACAATTTTGGGTTATTCTGGTCTTTACCTTTCTTTTAAAACTACGAGCAAAAAAAGAAAAAAAAAAAAAAAAAAAAAAAAGGAAGAGCTATTTCCATGCACTGTGCTGTTCTTATGCCAGCACATATCATCACAATCACAACTGTGAACCTAAGTCACTGATAGCCCAATCTAATATAGATTGATTGATTGTCCTATGACAAAGTTAGATAATGTCCGCAAAATGCCGCAAGCTCTGGCAGAGTCCAGTGTTCTTAAAGTACTGATAGGTCATGGCAAGACTTGGACTTGAGTTTGAAGGCCATGTTCTTGTTGTTCTTTGCAACTATTTTGCCCCAAAACCGCCTGGCTTTCTTGGGGATGCTCTCTCTCCGTTTCTGTAGCGCCAGTCGCTTCTCATTCTTTTCCTTGCTGTCCCTGCGGAGCCGGACTTGCCGCACGATGCCCTCGAAGAGCTCTTTCACGTTGTGCTGCACAGCTGCTGAGGTCTCGATGAACTTGCAGTCAAACACCACGGCGCAGGCTCGCCCCTCTGCAAAATGTCAAGGTGGACACGTTACATGGGGTCACCAGGCCCAGGGAGGGGGAGCGGGGACAAGCTGCCATGTGCGGGGGAGTCAGAGCCATCAGGGAATTCCTCAAGCCTGATATAGGCACAGATAAGTCTTTAATCACCTGATGCTGCCTGCTAGCCAGGATCCATCTGTGTCACAGCTGCTTCCCAGAGGAAGTGGGGGGTGCACGGGGGGGTAAATCCCCTCCCAGTAAAGCCCAGCCAGCACTGCTGGCTGTGAAGGTAGCACAGAATGATGGACTTGAGGTGAAACACTGAAGGCTGGGAGGCCAGCAATGCCTCAACACCGCCTGGCCATCTGCGATGCAGACTCCCCCAGGCTGCACTGAAGGGTGATGATGGCTCTCTCCAGGCATACAGCACATCATTGGAGGCACAGCACTTTCCTCCTTCATGGGCCATGGGTGTAAACCACAGCCCTGGAACTGTGGCAATTTCAGTGAGAGCAGACACATGTACAAAACCCTTAATAAAGGGTGTCTATGACTTTTGGGGTACATCTGAAATCATAGCTCTTATTCTCAATTACAGGAACCTAAGCTAAACCTGACAGGTGTCTTCCACACAAGCCAATTTCTGGCTTGCTGTGAATTCATTGCAAGGGCCATTAAAGTGACATGGATTAACCTGCCATCTTTCTAAAGAGCTTCCAAGCTGGGCAAAGAGGAATGAGAATGCAGCCCTGGGTTCCCTATGAACCCCTCAGTTCAAGCTCTTCACTTGGGGCAGCTGTGACAGGAGGCAGAGCAACTGCGCACATCCACAGAGCACGGAAAAAAGTCAAGCTCAGCTGGGAAACAGAAGAGCAGAACAGCTGCAGAGAGAAGAAAATGCTGAGCATAAGAACCCATGTTTCTGATGGGCCAAGACGAGAACATCTAATGCAGGGCTGCGTATTACAATGTGTCACCTCAGCCTCAGGAAAGATTCTCCAAGAAGATATTTTACTGGCTGCAGATGCTGAGAGCCAGCAGCAGTGATCCCAACAGTCTCTCCATTCCTATTTATGGGCTTAGTGGTTATTCATTTGTGTGCAGCCAAGGGAAGGCTGATTTAGCATCCCAAAGCAAGGCAGTAAGGAGACCTCTTCTGAAAGGCTGCACAGTTCCTGCCCAGACTAGCAAAACAAAGATTGAGAGGGAATTTCAATCCGTCAGGGAGGACAGAGAACTGGTTATAAAGAAGAGAATTTTTGGCAGCAGAATAAAGGGGGCTAAACTTGTTATGCATAAACATGCATTGGGAATACAAAGGGTTTCCAGCTACCAGAGAAATCACATATTGCAGTGGTCTAACACTAGGAGCTGGAAGGGAAGAAATCCCATTTATGATGGTACTTAATAAATATAGAAAAGGGATTATCTGACATGTAACAGTATTACCAAGATTTAAGGACCTGGCAGACCCTTCCCAGTCCTCTGCCCTCTGTTCCAGTCCTCTTTTATTTTATTACTCTTTTATTGCCTAGTCCTGATCACAATGTACTCCCTCAGCCAGAGCACTGCAGTTTGTCCAAAAGCTACTAGATGACTTTTAATGTTTATCTCGGGTTTATGCTCATAATTTCCTTACCTGCCACTGAAACTTCACGGCACCTGACAAGGTCACTTTTGTTGCCAACCAAAATAATGGGGATATCTTCTTTCTGGCGCGCCCTGCGGAGCTGTATTCGGAGTTCAGAGGCCTTCTCAAAGCTTGCTCGGTCTGTGATGGAGTAGACGATCAAGTAGGCGTCTCCCACTTGCATGCAGTGGTCTCGAATCCATTCTCCCTCCCGCTGTTCAAATTAAATGGTCAGACATATTTATGCCCTGAGCAGATTTTACTTAGAAAGTAAAACATTAGAGAATCCAAATGCATTCCTGCTGTAAACTGTAATGGGTATGGTTTGAATCACAGTTATACTACAAGTAATTCCAATGTGGTGATGGTATGAATACTTCACCACAAAGGAGGGTAAAAAATTGCCCCAGATAATTTATTGTGTTGGCTTTAGGATGGAATGAAAATGGTGTGGAAAGAAAGCTTGAATGTTTTGTTTCATCATTAAAAAAATAAAGACTTGCACTTCTCAGGCTCACAGTGCAGAGCCATTAGGCACGCTTGCCTTGATGTAGGGTAGGAAATAAAGACTTGCACTTCTCAGGCTCACAGTGCAGAGCTGTTAGGCATGCTTGCCTTGATGTGGGGTAGGGTTAATGCTATATCTTCCCTATATCTATATCCCTATAATGCTATATCTGCTGTATGGAAACACCTATTTTTCTTTCACAAAGGAAACTTGCTTTTTATATTAGCAGTTATTCATATACACTTTCCTGTCAGCAGACAGGAACACTAGACTAGTCAATTTGTTTGACTAGAACAAATTAAAGTACCTTATTATCCCACATGTCGAGCAGTATAACAGTCGCACTTTCCCCATCCACCATCAGAGTTCTTTCATACGTGTCTTCTGGAAAGAAAAGCAGAAAGGTTGGTGATATATTATTTTGTGTCATCATATACATTAAAAAATTCAGGTTGCTGAATATGGGGGATTTGTTCACAGAGTTATTGAGCCAAATTTTAGGCCGGCTCACATCCAGTTCTTTCCTCATTTCCATCTGCACTGAATCTGCACTCTGTTCATTATTCGTTGCCTTACTTTCCATGATAGATGAAAGATCAGGAAACAAAATGTTCATTATTTTGGCTGATAGTCTCTTTATCTTATGTGGGAGAGAGAAAATAGAACCAGTGGAAGAAATAACCAAAGGCTGAACATTTGCCCCATGGGAGCAGCAGAGTCCAGCAAGGCTGAGTAATGGAAAATATTTGCTTTCGCTTTAGCATGGACAATTTACGGGTGAACAGTCACTGCTGCTGAGAGCAATACAGCAAACAGCCGACCAAGTGAGGAGGACAGGGTGTTGTGAGACAACAGCTGTTGAGTTTGAGACAGACTGAGACTTTAGTTGCACGTTCTCTCCCATTACACAGTTCCCCACATCACCTTTGATGTCAAATAGCAGAAAAATGAAAAAAAACACAAGTCAGTTATTTTGTACTGCAGCCATAAAAATTCATACCTAGACTATAAATGCCATGTGGCAAAATTCTGCCTAGATCTAAGGATCTGTTGCCTCTCTGAATGTTGATCAACCCTTGCTGTGAAATCGGGTTCAAATACCAATCTTTCTTCTTTTCCCCAAAGCTGGGGACATTAGGATAAGCAATGAGAGGTTTGGACCCATTTCTAATCTCACATTAGTGGCCAGTGGAAAAAAAAAAAAACAGTCTTAAGGTACTGCAGCATTTGAAGGATCTGTCCCATCCACACTTGTAGATAAAGTTGTGTCTAACCTATGTCTCATAAGATTTCTGCTGTGCACTGATGAAGTGAACTTTCCCCTAAATTGTAATCAGAGCCTTTCCTCAGAGCTAGGGATCTACATCCCAGTAAAAGAATAAGCCAAAAATATTACACATTTAAAGTAAAGTCAAATGGAGCCCATGCTTAAAATATCAAGATTAAAAAGACAGAGCTAATCACTAGGAGTGATTTCCCTTGAGGTCCTAAGAGTATGAGGCTTGTATTCATGAGTTAGCTTCATCTTACAGTCAGTAGCAAAACCTCTCCATAAAAGCAGCTGTACTCCTCTGTAAGCTGGCTACCCTGAAACTATCCTCTCATGCAATTAAATTTCCAGTGTGTAAGCTAAAGTTCCAGTTTGTAAAGCTAAAGTAAATAGTTCCTTCAAGTGACCGAGCATCTGTGTGAGAACAAGCTCCATGCACACCAGAGGACAAAATCCAGAAGACTCCTTCTGCACTGCATTACATAGAGAGAAGCTACAAATGCATAATCACATTCCTTGAAAATACTATGCCTAAATAATCATATTCAGCACTGATCTGCACCTTGGTCAGTCCTAGAGAAATTCCATAGGATATAAAACACACCGAAAGTGAGCATTTGGTTCATTTTGTGCTGTTTTTGAAGCTGACAATAAAAAAGGAGACAGATAACAGCAGCAAGACTTCCAATTATCTCTTCAGAGCTGGCCTTGAAAATCTGTCACTGCTACACTCCAAGCAATGCTGCTGGGAGTGTGATGGAAAGAGAAAACCACACGGCTTCACCTGAGGGAAAAGAAAACTGTCTGACAGGGGCGTGCAGAGAAAGCCAGCTGCACTTCCTGATGGCTTGTCCAAGGATCCTACTCTACTTCAGTTGTTTAGCACTAGGAAAGCTTTTATCAGAGATACACCAGGCTGCGGAGCTGGTAGAACTACGGAAAAAGTTGATGGCAGAAGCTGAAGGCAGAGCACAACTAAATCAGTGAATTTGAAATCCCCCAAAGGCACAAATCTCTGTGTCCCCAGTCTGAGACAGCAAGTAAAGCAAGGAAAATGTGAGTCTGACCTTCCTGATACTGGGCTTTTTTAAATCCTGGGCAAAAGTTCCCCTAACTGGAGAGTTAAACACACAAAAAGAAGCTGTCCTGCCTATGCTCTGCTGAAGGCTGGAATAGAAGTCCAGAAATTCTCTGTGGTAGCACTGGCGCCATCACACCAAGGGAATACTGGCGGGAGACAGAAGGGAGAGACAAAGAAAGCCCTGCACAGTGACAAACAAAACCCAGCAGCAAACTGCATGTCCCCTGACAGCAGCAATGACTATGTCCTTGGAGATACAGAAGTTTCTGTGGCAGCACAACCCCTCCACATCAACATCTTGCACACAGTGTAGCTCAGGACTTGGTGCTACAGCTTCACCCTCTGCATGGTCTGAGCTTTGGGATTAAAGAGCACTTTGCTATCCTAAACAAAGCAAGGGGGAAGCATCAAAGAGAATCCTACAGTTTGTGTCTTTCCCCCAGTGGGCAACAGGAATTTTCCTACTCTGTTGAGGGACCTTTATCTTTTTTCCTCCTGGAGGAACCCATACTGTGTAAATAACATGAAATAAGGTTTTTACTCAAAATTTTACATATTTTACTCCAAGTCCATACAGCCTGTACTAAAACAATGTGTTTATACAGAAAGGCTGAGACGACTTCTAATGGCAAATATTTCGGAAGTGACTTTTTCTTTATATATGATTTTAAAGTATTTAATTCTTGTAAATCATGAGGACCTTCAGTTGTTTTCTCTCCCACAAGGAAAGCTGGAGTCAGCCCTGTGATGCCAGTGGTGACACAAATGTTGGACCAGCAGGAAAGCTGAAGCAGACTCTTGTGTAGCATCATCACAGGTAGGAATGAGGCAGTTTCCAACAGGTATTTTGGAATGAAATAGCATGGGAATCTGAATTGCTTTCTTTCAGTGGCTTTCACTCATTGTTGGAGAGTATCTTACTCATCTTATTTTGCTTTCTTGTTTTCTTAAAAGAGCTGCTTGAGCTCAATCAGTTTTGATAATCACACCCAAACGCTTGTTACTTCTGGTTTACATTAAACGGCCTCCCTCTTTTTCTGTGCCAATTACTACAGGCAGAGCTGACTGCAAGCAAACAGCAACACCCCAGGACATAATCACCTACCTCCCAGCACCTCACAGTCACTGTCAATGCTGTCGTGCACCCCTGCAAAGATGTTGGCAAGGGAGGACTTCCCCACGCCGTGCTCCCCGATCAGCACCACCCGGTAGCAGTTGCTGCCAGACTCGGAGGAGATGACGGAGTCGGATGACTCCGAGGACCAGCTCCTTCTGTAATATTCATCAGGACTGATGGTGTATCGTTTCTGTGGGTTGTACTCGTTGGAGTCTTTCTGGACCAGCAGGTTCTTTCCATCAGCAGGGATACTCCATCGCTGCTGCTGCTGGTGCAGGCTGCTGTTGTGGGTGCGACGCATGGTAACATTGTTGAGAGTCATTTTTAACCCCTAGAAAAAATAGGGAAATTACAAATGTTACCCACAAAATATTTAGAAATACTGTCTTCAAGGGGCCACATCATACTCCTCTGTAGGGACCTAATATGTGAGAAAAGAAAAATTAGCCTTTCTGCACTCTAGTGTACTTGGTGGTGCACAAAGAAATATTTTAGTTATTAGCTAGTGAGACAGAGCCTGTTTCTTAGGGATAATACCACCCTCACATGCTAAATCCTATCTTGTTTGGCCTTTACCAGTCCACGGCTGTGCTGGGTGCAGCCCAGTCCTGGAAAGAGGGAGGCATTGCTGTGTCCCAGGAGGAGAAGGAGGGGACGGTGCTCACCACACCGGTCCTGCACGGCAGCTGCCGCCAGCCTGCCTGTGGTGCAGGCAATGTCCACCTCCTTTTGGCATCACTGGGGACAGAGACACTGGCCTCAGTTGCCTCCAACTGCTGCTGCAGGTGGGTGTGCAGCATCTTTCTCATTGACTCAGTTAAGAGCTGAAACTTGGGAAAGCAATAAATCACAATTCACCGCACTCTTGAGACAGCTCTGGTACAAAAAGTCATGCAAGCAAGTTTGACTGCTTGCTGTGATGGGGTGGATTTGGGTCTTGTCTGTGGCCAGGTAAGCACAGAATGATTCTGCCTCAGACAGTGACTTTTTGGCTGGTAAGAGGGAGAATGTAGTGAAATCCAACAGATTTTCTGAGGAGGTACAAATGATAGCTTCTACAGGAGATACAACTGGGAGAAAAGCCTCATTAATTTATAGATATTAAATCAATAACTTCATTACCACACAATTAATTAGATAGGTTCACTCTTCTTACATAAGCATAGCTCTTAATTATATTTTACTCAGTAAACTCTATTTTGCCTTGCTTGGAGGCAGATAAGAATGATGTCAGCCTCACAAGCCAATGCCTACCATTTTTAGGAAAGTTACTTTGATGCATTCCAGCTCCCAAAGTGACCATTATTTAGACATTTTTCTTTTTTGCCCTATATCTGATGTTTCTCGGCTCTCTCCTCCATATCAGTAAATTGGATAATTGTCCATAAAATTCACCCAACCACTTTCAAACCTCAAAAATAGGTGATGAAAAATAAAAAGAACAGTAAAGCAACATGTACAAATTGCTATTCTTCTTCATACAAAACTGTCTGAAAACTTCTGTGAATAAATTCCCAGCAGGACCTAGGACAAATATATAGAAAAAGCACTGTCTGAATTTACTACAGAATACACAATATTTTCTCTCTGATGTGCAGTACTTTGGGGCAAAAGGAGATCGTTTACATGGTCCTAGTCACAGAACTTTGTCATCAAGAAATACATATAAAGAAGAAATCACGCACTAAGCAAAGATTCTTCGCAAACAAAATTAAATATTTACTGGGGTTGAATTCTAAAATGCACTTTTTCCTTGCAGTATCCCCATTGAAAAGGCCAGATGAAAAAAGCCAGATCTGGTTCAGTCAAACAACAGAGAGTAACTCGCAACCTGCAACAAGCAGTCACTCACAAAACCATCACAAACACAAACATTTTACAATTTCTCCTCTAACAAATTGTCATACCTCATTAAAAACAGCCAAACAAGTCCCTGTCACACACTGTGCTCCAAGCTCAAACTGGTTTTGCTACCCCATACTGCATTTAGCTGCCTGGGTCTCCAGGAAAAGACTGGGTCCAAATCCACTCTTACTTGTGCCAGGCTCCGCAGCCGGTCCCGTCCTCTGTTCCCCCTGCCCTTCTCCCTCGCTGGGCTGTGACACACTGAGCAGCTCCGCCGGAGTAAATCCTCTCCTGCTCGGGGACTGCCTCTTTAATTCTTTCTCAGCAAACCTGGTTTATATTAAGCCCATCTGATCAGAGACAGGGCTTTTCCGTGACGTGGCTGGCCTTTCCATACAACAGCCAGCCCCCAGCTGGGGGAAAGCAGACATGCAGAAGAGAAAAACTTGCAAACAATCTCAAAAGACTTACTCAAAATCATGTGATTGTTTTAATATTGCCAGTAAAATAAACACTTTTGGTTCTTGCATGATGAAAACAGGAAAGTGGAACAAAAATAAATAATACATGTCATTTAGCCTCAGAGAGCTTTTAATTCAAATGTTATCAAAATTAATGATGATTTAAAATTTACCTAAGTTTATTTAATGCATGAAATTCTGTAAGTGGATTATGTATCTGTTCTCTGTCTGCAAAACACACTTAACCCTCTGCTGGACAAAATATTTCTCTGGAATAAAATATCTGAATCTTATTTTGAAATTTTTTAGAAGTAGGAATATTATTCTAGGGGCTTTGTTGGAGTTTTGATGGCTTCTTTTTTTTTTTAAAGCTCCATTATTAACAAACCTGTTATTCTTTCTCAGCCTCCAAGTGACCGTACCCAGTCTCCTGAACTACAAAACCATCTCTCTCTCACTTCTGCTTCAATATTTTCCTACCAAGGGCTTGAAAAGACATCCAACTATGAATTCAGTGTTACTGCAGCTGGATGTTGGCAAAACACACAAAGTCTGCACAAAGTCACACAATGTTGACGCTGTGTGCAGGTACAATCACTATATACTGTACATGCCACAAACCCAGGGTCTGGTCCTTAATTTTTTTTATTTATTTTTATAGCCTCACAGCTGATTGGTGGAAGAAATTTTGCCAGAAGGCAAGAAATCCAAACCTGTTGAAACTTGTAACAACATGCTTCTTCATTAGCAAAGGAAGAGTAAGAAACTGTGGCAGAGCTACTTGCTAGGGCTACCACAACTTTTATATATGTATAGACAAACTCTGTAGTCAGCTCCCAATTATCCAGACTCTGGATTAAATATAATGAAGTCCTACTGTTTTCTTTTATATTTACATATTTACACTTTATATTTACATTTATATTTACAATCTCCTGGTCCTTGAATCTAATAGGACAAGTTCTTATCCTAGAAAGTCTGAACAACTTTGGTTTTAAACAGGGGGAGAATTTTTTTTCCCATGCTACAGGCAAGCAAATCTGTAACTGGCCATGTACCTTTATTGAAGGGAAGACCGATGTGCAGAAAACATCTCTTGTTAACACTGCAATTGAAATCTCCTTGCTTTGTTTCCCCTTTGGCTTTATTGCATTCCTGTGTCTTTCATGAGGGTTTTCAAGGACCTCCTGAGCCATTCTCAAGTTTTAAAAGCCTAGAGCTTTTCACAAAGTGATAGGTACTCATCAATGTACATGAAAATTATGCTGATCTACCAAGGATAGAATTGAACAAAAATGTGCCCTGATTTTCCTTCTTGTGTATTTCAGTGCTTGGCAGCAGCTAAACTGGCCCCAGGTCCTGCATCTTCACCTCTCCTGTCTCTTACTCATCAGGCCTCTGCTGCTGAGTGATAATTCCAAAGAGCACAAAGTGCCACATCCCTCTGTGTAGGTTGTACAGAGGGGCTTGTAATACTTACTGCACAAAATGTAACCACATCTCTATCCAGGAAGGTTTGTGGCATGGACAGTACTTTGCAAAAATACCTTTCCTGTTGGCATACTCAACTGAAGTTGCTCGTTTTTTGAAACATGCTGGAAACCATGAAGGTGAGTGGGTGGTTGGAGTACCATGGACCTCAGGTTTGCATAGCTCTCTGTAAGCTGTCTGTAATTTGTCACTGCTGAGTAAAAAAGCAAAACCTGTCCACTGCAGGACTGGAGAGATTTATGGCCAGAGTGATTGCAGCAGAACTGCAGGCTCCAATGTCTCACCCAAATGTTTAACATATATCACAGCAGAAAGTGCAAACAGAAGAAATAAACCAAAGTCAGAAAAGCCTTTGTGTTTAGTTGTAGTTACTGTTAGATTAAGAATTGCTAGACATCATCTTTCATATCCTCTTCATAAAATTCAAGACAGACAAAGAAAACACATCTCTCCAGAACCACACAATATATCTCTTCCCTAAAGCCATCCAGAAGAATTGTCCCACCATAGCATGAAGTACTTGTACTTGGGGAACTTGCACATGTCTTTTCCTTTGTATTGTCTCTTCTGAGCCTACTCTGGTTTTCCAACTGGACCATTAACTCTCCAGGTCCCATTCTGCACTACACATCCACAGGATGTGGTGTTGTTGCTCCTTAGGGAATGCCATCAGCACTCATGAACTTCACTCACTCTCTCTGTGGAGGAAACACTTTCTTACTTGTTTTTTAAGCTGTGGAGAGAAGCAGTCTTTTTAGCCTCCGGGTATTTACAGGGGATAACAGCAGCTTGATTACTGAAATATATGAACTGGGACCTTCTCAGGGACAAAAACAATCCCACAGATTGATGGAGACTGGTGCAGTCCTGGTCTGTTCAGCCCTTTTGCACTCTTTGCTGGCCAACACTTCTGCAAGTCTCGTGCCTGCCCACGACACAGGCACGAGAAGAGACAAACCATAAGGCCGGTGCTGTCGCAAAGCACACGAGTCTTGAACGTAACTGCCTGGTGCAGCACGAAAAGTCAGAGGCATTGTTTTTCTCCCACCTTATCCACTCTCTCTTTCATTAATCACCTCTTAAAGGAATTCTCCCTGCAGCCAGGATGAAGTAAACATTGCAGAGTAGCAGCTCTGCAATCCTTCCCCAGCCAATTACAATTAGAGCAGGTGATACCCAGAGCAATTAGGCAGAAATTTTCCATTGAATGTAAAAGCACTGCTTTTTAGTTAACATTTAATTAGCCAGTTTGAATTTATGTATATGATGGCAAAAGCGGTTCCTCAAACCTTCTGGTGTAAGGGTTGTCCACAGAGAGGACATAAAACATCTCAGAGTTGGAGGGAAATTCAAGGGAGGAAAAAAATTTAAAAAGCAGGAAAAACAAAATTCAGATTTCTTTCAATGAAAACTGAATGCAGCATGTTTGAAAGTGCACTTTTTCCCTATACATCCAGCAGCGAAGTTCACCTCCATCTTTCCCCTCAAAAGGCTTGGCATAGCAGACTCTTCCCAATAGTGAGTTGCCAGCATAGGCAGTGAATGAGGTCTGCCTCTCCTCCAGACCGTTGTGGCTTTTCACATTTTGCTCTGCTTCTCACATCTGGCAGTGCTGGCAGGCCCCTGGCTATTCTCAGCCCTACCAACAACAGTAGCTATGGACAGAAATTAATTTGGGTGCTGGGCTGGATGGTGTTGGACACACTGAGGATGCCCACAGTCACTGCATGCCCTCCCTAGGGAAGCTGCTCCATTGTCACCATTCATTCCTACTGCACAGGCAGCCACAGGCAGCTTGGAGAGCAAATGTAGAACAAAAGGCAAAAATAGATGTGGGATGAAGCAGCACTGGGCCACAGCAATGGCACCACTGGATTACTTACACCAACTTATGTCTAGCTTTGCCTTTGCCAATCCCAATTCAAATCCAATGACTCAGTGTGAAGTTTAATACTGACTGAAAAGGTACAAGGGGTCAAACACACTGAGACTGGGTTGTATGAGGTAGGGAAATGAAGGATTATATGCCTCAAGTAAATTACTGAGGGTCTTAAAAGGGGGACAGGGCAGAGAAAGATACTGAGAAATTAAGGAATAATAAAACATTGATTCCTTTTAAGGGACACAATCAGAAGCACCTGAAAGTGCCAGCATCCAATCTAAAAAATAGCCATTCCTCTTTTCAGTGGAGTAGATTTGGTAGGCCCTGTTCCTAGAGTTGCTTGCAGGGAGTACTGCATTTGTTCCACCAGCTCCTTTCCTTCCACATCACAGCAGCATTTTTGCAATTCTTTAACTGAGCACTAAAAGTAGAACATGACCCTTTGGTGATGAGCACGAGGATAGGGAAGAAGCACTGATCTGCACAAGTTAGCTGTAAAGCCAGCATTAGAGTTCTCAGGGAATAGGATTGCCTTTAATCAGCTGACTCATTGGAGAACCTCTTATTAGTCTATTACTTGCAGATAATCTGGATTCTGATGTACCAAAAGGAATGTGTGTTCTATATCTGTGCACGGCAGAGCTCCATTGACTATAACCAGTGTCCAAAGGTATTTCCCCATTAATGCATTAAGCCAGCACAGTGGAAGACTCAGCAGAAAATGAGAAATGAGAAGCCAGGGGAAGCAATGCAGCTCAGTTCATAATAAAATAAAAGTTACTTTTTAGTCTAGTTAACTGAAAAGAAATTAAAACAACTGTCAGCTTTGAGGGGACAAAAAAAGAACAATGATAAAGAGTAAATGCAAAACTGGATTATTTCAGTAAGAGTTACTTAGCAAAAGGACTGCCTATTTCCCACTCTTGCACTCAATGACATTAATGAATTCTGCCAATAATTGTCCAGGGAATGGGATTAAGTCATATATGACATAAATAAATGTGCTTTTCAATGCAAATTTTAAAAAATCTTAATATACTAATAATAGTAGGATGTGAGCTAGCCATAAGTGTTCTTCAAATACTGAGCTAAAAAAACCTTTAGATGAATGGCACCAGCACAGAAGATTTTTTATGTAGCTGGGATCCTGGTAGTATGCCACAGTCCTCAGTGCAATCAGGTTCAGGAGCTACTGTGTCCTTTGCAGCTACAGGATTCACAGAATTTTATACCTTGCTTTATACCACTAAGTGAAGATAATAATTTAACAATAGGCAACTGTTGCTTCAGCAAACCATAGGTTAGAATCTTCAGCAGAACAATGATCTTATTCTAATCTTCACACCTGCTGAAGGGAGATCCAGAAAAAGGTCTTCTGCTCCAAATGCAATTTCTTCTTCACTGTACTTTCCAAGACTCTTACAGTGAGTGCAGCCAACAATAATTATCAATACTCA